CACCCCTGGTAATGGAGAATACCTCACTGAGCATCCATTCCGAAGCTACCCTCTTCTTCTTGAGCGTGGGTACTCAGGTTGCCCCGCTTATTCTTAAGGGGACAAAATCCGGACTTCACTCCAACCTTTAGGCCGTTTACTACCATCTACCACAAAACTGTACAAATTAGAACAGTTCTAATTCTTTAGGACTTTGCTTATACGTCAGAGAGGATATCTGCTCTCAACGCCTCGGTAGTCTTGAAGGACGGACCTGGCTATCTTTTGGCTACGCGTAGACTGCGACGCCTTTTCCTGCATCTACGGGTGCTTCTTTAGGTCCCATAGACCGACTCATCAACCACGTGCAAATGGCTACAGATTTCTTGCGACAACAGATCCCATCCGCAGAGATCGTGATCCTTGGTAATTTTAACGCCCAACACGCTGAATCGCACGGTTTAACCGATCATGCGCGGAGATCTGTTTATGACTTTGCCTTGGCATATAATCTGCAACTGGTTACTTCGGCTACACGAATTCCAGATGTGGAGGATCATGCACCTTCCCTGTTGGACCTTTTGTTAACCTTTCAACCGGACGGATATCAGGTCTCGGTTTACGTCCCTCTTGGTTCTTCGGACCATTGTCTGATCCGGATTGACTCACGCTAACTTCGCGGTTACATTCTCAACGCTGTCAGCATCCTTAAAAAGAATTATAGCTTGGCCTCCAGGTCCTTCAAAAGAATTATTGCAAAAACAAAGTATGAGCACATTGGCAGGATTGGCAAGAAATTAGTTCGCCGCGGGAATCTGGGCACTCCGGTCTCTCGCCAAGACAGTCCAAGCAATTTTCTTTAAGCCATCACTTCCACCTCTGCACAGGGAAGATGACTCGCTGCCCCCACCGCAAAGGAGAAAGCTGACCTTTTAGGCTTCTTTTTTGAGTACAACTCTACCCTTGATGACGGGGCAAATATATCGCCTACCATACTGCGGTATGAGTGCTCTGTGCCTGATGTGCCATTCACACAGTGCTCAGTTCGTAAAGCACTCCTCTCCCTAGACATCCACCAGTCGAGTGGGCCTTACGGAATCCTCTAGTGTGCTAAGGACCTGTGATCCAGAGTTGGTACCAGTTGTAACGCGTCCTTATAGGTACTAATACTCTTTATGCGTTGTCCTGAATTTATGGAAGACGGCTTTGGAAGTCCAACTACAGGTCTATAGCCATCACTTCCTTTTTTTCGAGAATATTGGAGTGCATTATTTACTGCCAGATCAAGCGGCACCTTGAGGAGCAACAACTGATTATCGACCGCCAGTACGGTGTCCTTTGGAGTCGCTCAGCTGTTAATCTTCTTGTTTACCTAACAAACAACAGCAGGCGGTTGACATTAGGCAGGAGTTTGGACATAGCGAAGACCTTTTATCGGGTTTGGCATAAAGCGTTTCTTTCGAGGCTTCCAGCTTAAGGCTTCCCGAGAAATTATGCAATTGGATCACCAGTTTTTTTTCCCAGATCGGAGCATTAAGGTCGTAAGCACCGGTGCATATGCTTTAACTCCAAGCCTGTGAATGCTGGTGTTTCACAAAGCTGCGTGATACCTTATTCCTTCTGCATATTGTGATGGCGTATTATTATTATTATTAATAAATAATAATTAAATTTAGTATAAAGTAATTTAAAAATATCATAGATATATTATTTTGAACAGTTAAAATGCATTTATAAGACATACATTCATTTCGAATATTAATTATTAATTAATTAATTATTTTTTGAGTTTTAGCGAGACTAACGAACGGCATTTGATTTTTTAATCCTTAATTATTTACGAGTTTATAGTTCAAAATCTTTTTAGTTTCCATAAAAAGTTTATATACAGATTGAAACCTCTTGGTTTATTTTAAAATTTAAAAATGTAAATTAAAAAAAAAACATCAGAAAAAACAAAATACGGCGCCAAAATTGTTAGTAATTCGTTACGAAAAATAAAATAGTTCTACTGATATTAATAAATGAAAATCACGTCATTTCATTTGAGTCGAGATGAAACGTTACGAGCCGTGAGCGTTTTAGAAAATGGTGCTATTCAACGTGTCGTTGCTGTAGCCAGAACGCACACACACCAGCCAAAACGCAACGGGTGACACGAGCACACACTCCACCTGATGGTAAGTAGTTGCTGTAGCCCATAGACACCTACATATATCTTCGTTTGCGAATCATAATGCAGATGCGTTGTCAGCCGTGAGGACTAAGATGGAATATACTCACCATACGAAACAAGCAGCATTATGCTGCTATTTTACGCTGGTATTCTGTGAGAGCGTGATCCTTCCCCGGTCGAGCTGACCATTCTACTAATATAGCTGCAGCATGGCTCTACCATGTAAAAACGGTTGTGGTCACGTTATCGTTGTACTGGGCATGTGGCTGAACGTCACACGGTAGATATCGTGTTACTAAGCAGAGACAGGATGGATTTCTTCAAATGACCGCCAGAAGTCAACCCAATATCACAGCGATGCAACTACTACAAAGGCTCAAGGAGGACCACCAGCTGCTGGTAAACAACCAAACCATGCGAAGTAGGTTGTATGAAGTTGGTCTTCATGGTCACGAAGACCGCTACGAGTACGTGTTCCAGCATTGTGACGTGGCAATCGCAGTTGATGACTTTCGTGGGCTCTGGAGCATTTACCATGGAGTGACGAACAATGGTCAATGTTTCATCCGGATTCACGAAGAACACGCGTTTGTAGAATTCCAAGAAGAGTTAGCCGTCTACGGCACTCTCAGGAGGTCCACTCATACCAAGGCGGTACATTCGTGGTTTGTGCAGGATGATCCAAGAAAGCATGACTGCACCAAAATACCACGAGGAGGTAGGAGTAGAGCCTGTTATTGTATCACACAGAATCCAAATGGGTCGGGAATTTCTACTCATGCATGATAATGCTCCTTCCCATACGGCGCGGCTGGTGTCGGCCGCTCTTCGGCACCACGATATTAAAGTTTACGATTGGCCTACTCAGTCGTCCGACTTAAATCCTATCGAGCATGCCTGGGACATGTTACAACGAAAAGCATTGAGAGATTTCCCTCTAAATTTGACGACGGAATAACAATTTCACGAACACTTGCAAAGAACATGGTAGGTCCCATGTTACCGCAGCAAGACATTGACAATTTAATTTTAAATATGAACAATTGATGTTGATAATATATGTAATTAATACAACGCAGGTGGCAACACTGATTATTAATAATTAGGTTTTTTAAAATTTTTCAATTTGAATTAAAATTAATATTTTTATAAGAAATGAAGTTTTTTTTACCATACTAATAATTTTCTACAACGATTAAAAAATTAATATTTTTATTTATAACAAAAAAACTTACGAAATGTTTTTATTTTTATTAAAGACCTTAAAATAACATATCATTCTGCCATTTACTATATCAGAAAATTCTTCATAGATTTTTAAATATTAAATATCCCTAGATTCACTTGATCTGTTTATATGGTCCGCATTCTTGGACAACTGCGCGTTAACCTGCTGTCGCTGATATTACTTGATAGGTGCTTTCGTATTTCTGACAATTTTGGACAAATGAATTGAAGTCATCGTCATTTTAATTATTAATTGGATTTTACTATTTACCTGATTTTATCCGAAAGCAACCGGCTACACCTTGTTGTAGCTATAAATAAATCGAAAACATATTAGTTTAACCGACCGCAATCGGCTGCACATAGTTGTAGCCGGCTAAACCTAGAAGTAACCGCACTTCGGCTTTTAGTCGTGATACCCATCTGAAAAAGAGCTACCTAAAGCTGACTACTAATGATAAGAAGGGGATTGGACAAATCTATAAAATAATCTATATTGAAACAATATTGATAATATGTTAAAAATCTCCATCTATATACTGTAACACAAAACATTCTCAAATAAGAACCATTTCAACTTTTTTATATATATTGTTATATACTGGTAATAAATTGTTTCGCTTTTAAAACAATACAGGTATCAAAAAATATACAAACTGACCTGTTCAAAGTTCAAAAATTTTATTAAACTGAGTTTGTACGAAATGTGTTCTTATAATATTAGGGAATTTATGGATGATAATAACCCCTTTGAATGAGGTGATCGCACCGAAGCTGTTTCTAATTTGTTTTGTGTTGTTAATTGTGTAATATAATATCTATGATTGTAAGCTGTTATTTAAAAAAAAAGTTCCGCTGGATTTCTTGCTGGTTCTTCCCAGGACAGAGTTTTTTTTTCCGAACCAGTGGTAAATTAAAGAAAAGAGTGACTTTCAATAAGTTATTTTTGTAGGTAATCTATATTGTATAAAAAAAGTTTGTTATCGGTAACTTATATTGATCAAATGCCGACATTATTATTATATATTAACAATATAATATAAATCTATGAACAATAATTGGACTATCCTATTTCTTTTATACTATATAGGTATGCTCATTTTAGGTGAAACTTTCCCATATCTAAATTCATATCTTGGATGTTTTAGATTTGATAACTTTTGGAAAACATAGGAACTTAAAAAATTTCGGCTCATAAATATAATTTTGAAATTGAGATAAATTTATTATTGAACTTTTTATTATGCAGTTTCTATGTAATACTAGTATCGATTGGTAAGATTTATTGTAAAATAAAACAAGAAATAATTTGTATAAATATAATTATTGAAACTTCATGACGATACAAAATATCTTCTTTTAAATGTTGCCATATAAAATACCTTATCAAATTATATTAATATAAAACATCAGCTCAGTCTTTGAAAATAGAAATTCAGTACACAACACAAGCTTACATACAATAATAATTAAATCACCAGAACAATGTAGATACAATCAAGTGCCTTCATTGTGGTGGACAAGATTACTTATATAATAATAGTAACATAAATACAAATATAATTAAAGACATTATTGTGGATTGGAGTCTTCAGGTTTGTTGGATTGATTGTGGTGTTCAAGCAGGAGCTTGATTAGCGTTAGGTGCTGGTTCGGCGGGGTTGGGTTCCTTAGACTCGTTTTCTTGTTCCTGCTGTTCATTGGTCATCTTAGTCAAGTGGACTGCCGCTAACAAAGCTGTGATGTATCGTCGTACATCTAATTCAATACCTGCATGAAAATGTAATATATATTAAAAAATAACAGAATTAAAAATGCCTGCAGTTTAATTTAAACAGTATCTATAGTAGTATAAAATAAAATTTCCTTGCTGAACATAGGCCTTTTTATAGGATAGGGTGACAAACGAGCACACAGTCCATCTGATGGTAAGTGGTTGCTGTGACCCTTAGACATCCACATCTATCCTCAATAAAGAATCAAAATGCAGATGCGTTGTCACCCGTGAGGACTAAGATGAAATGCCTCTTTTCAAGTAAAAAGGGTCTCCGGTTCTCTACACTCACCATACGAAACACAGCAGTGTTAAGCTGCTATTTGACGCTGGTATTCTGTGAGCGTGGTCCTTCCCCTGTCAAGTCGAACTATTCGTGCTAAAACTATATTACTAATATAGCTGCAACATGGCTCTACCACGTAAACATCTCATAGAGGGATTTTTTTCCATCGGAGTCACGCTCGGCAGGCGGGTAGGCAAACGCAGTTAATTATTATTTATGTTGTTATCAGAAAAACCTATCTCCTGTTTCAGTTTCCTTTTGTAACACGTGGTAGTGGATATTGTTACACCGCCACTACAGGGTTAAGTATGTTACACAGTAAACATGAACTAATAAATGTTCTGAAGAAAAGGGGTCTTTAATGCCTGCGATATGGAAAGTTCCTGCATTTTAAAAATAGAGCTAACCCAATAATAGGCTAATTAAGTATGATGATAATATTCAAAGTCTGATTCAATGTCTCATCAATGTTGAAAGTTACCAACCACTAACGGTTGGAAAAAAATAAAAGTGTCTCATTAGTAAATACAATTAGTTGTGTAATGGCGACACAAGAAAGTTCATCGCCCCATTTCGCTGTGTAAGAGGCGACTATGAAAATTGCCAGAAATATCTCAATGCTTCCGACAGATATAGCAGTATAATGCAAACTTTTACGCCAGACGTAAAATACCCATCATCATCATAACAGGCCTTGGTAAGTCCATTGCTGAACATTGGCCCTCTAGGTTGTCGATTCTTCGAGCTATATGACCGGCCCATTGCCACTTCAGTTTATTAATCCGTTGGGCTATGTCGGTTCCTCTGGTTCTACTTCGAATATCATCGTTTTTAGTCTATCATACAGACAAACCCCGAGCATAGTACTCTTCATAACTCGCTGAGCGGCCTTCAGTATCTTCATATGACCAGCATTGAAGGACCACGTCTCAACAACATAACACTGGTGGCACCACGCACTGGTTGTACAATCATGTTTTAAAGTTTTGAGATATGCCTGACGAGAAGATGTGTCATGAAATACTCAGACCTGTGTTGAAGGTTCTGCTGGTACTGGTCTACCAAGCGCGACGATTAAGGCAAACCCTCTCTCAATATCCAGCGGTGGACTTTTATGGGATTTATGTACAATTTACACTGTATAATTTGAGGGTAGCCGTGGTTCACAATGGTATTGAGACGTCGAACACCTTAATCCACCCCGTGGCCATAGGTGCTGTAAAGAACTCGAAAAGTCGGGAATGTAAAATAAGTTAATATATTATGCGATAAAATCATGAAAAAAATCTGTGAAATTTAATTTAAATTTTATGCGCTGATGAAGAACACTTAATACATACCCGACTTTCTAAGTTGATTTATCTTGGATGCAAGATTTGCCCAGACTCGGCGAGCTGCCACTGCGCTCAGTCTGCCCACGGTCTGCACAGTGTGCAGCGCTGGATCGTCGCTCGCTGAAACTACTTCACCTGGAAATTTTATAAAGTTAATGGAACAGCTATCATAAGTACCAAAGCTGGGCGTAGGTTACAGAGAAATGGAGGGGCATAAGACTAATATCACAAATCATCGTCCTCGAAATGTTAGTAAGACAAAGGTACTTCCAAGATTTAATTTTTTCACCATCGACACTTCAAATTTCAAACGACCATATCGGCGCTGCTGAGAGTTTGAACTCCTTTGCGTCCTAATTCGATGTATGCATGAACTTTTATCAGTGAAAGGTAGCTGCTGGAAACTAAATGCCTGAAGCCAACTAAGTGGAAGTCTTGGAGGAGGCCTATGTCTAGTAGACTACCGCAGGCTGATGATGATGATGATGATGAACTTACACTTAATGCAGATGTATACAGCAGCATATCATGTAAAAATTTAAGGTATCGGTACGTCCCATAGCGAGGAACAGGCCACAGATTTTGGAGCGGAGAAGGGTACTGCGATGGCAAACTTCACATGTCTTAGATTTTATTTTTAGTGTCCTATGCAGGATTCCTCATAATGTTTCAAATAAAATATTGCCTTATTTACAAAGTATATCTAATACAAATTTTTTGAAATTGTTTACTTTTCTATTAAATATGTCAATATTTTTACTATTAATAATCTATACAAATAAATTAAATTGACGTGTCTGTTTGTAATGTCCAAATAACAGCTTTTTATTAAATGCATATGAAAGTATATAGGTACGGCACTTATAACAAAAACACAATTTTTAATTTTTTTGTCTGTCTGTTTGTTTGTTCCGGCTAATTTCCGAAACGGAAAGACCGATTTTGACGGGAATTTCACAGGCAGATAGCTAATGTTATAACGAGTAATTTGGCTAAATTTATTTTAGAAAAGGAATTAAGGTTCCGCGCAAAAAATTAAATCCCATAAAATTCAATCGTAATAAATTCCACACGGGCGCGGAACCTAACGCGGGAACAGCTAGTTACAAATAAAAATTGCAGTATCGAACTTGGTTGGCTCGCATAATATGAAATAGACGAGCACTTATGTCATACTCTTAGTTGTGGGATGTTTTTGTAGAAAATTTGCTGCTCGAACACAGAGGTAAGTAGGACGGCAATTGAAGGCGACTGCCTCGTTGGTCTATTGTTTGTGATAGTGCGACTACTGATCACGAGGTTCCGGGTTCGAATCCCGGGTCGGGACACAATCAGTTATTGGGTTTTTCTGACAAGAAATCCTCAGTAGCAGCTCGGAGTCAGGAAGTTGGCGGTGTTTCACCTCCGTGCCTTGGAAATCACGTAAAGCCGTTGGTCCTGCGCCTCCGTAACGTAAAGGCTCCGTAGTGTAGTGGCTTAGCAATGAATTGTTGCGTTGGGGGCCGCGGGTTCGAATCCCGCACGGAACAAGTATTTGTATGGTCTACAAATACTTGTTCCGTGTCTGGATGTTTGTCCTCGTGCAATTTATGTTTGTAAACTGCCTCCACGACACAGGAGAAAATCCTAGTGTGGGGATAACGTTTAAAAAAAAGAATATAAAAGAAAAGAATATAATCTCTCTCCAGTCGTGTCGGTTTATCGTCGCGTCGGACTTTGAGAGTGCACCTGTGCTTACGCATGCACTTGATCACTATAATCCTGTCCTGCACCGATGGCTAGCCTCCGTTGTGGCTGGCCGCCGTGACTGAAATTCGGTCTGGAGGGCATTATTATTAAGTAGGAAGGTTCGCACTGTTAAGAAATTTATATCCAGACGATGTAAGCGAATCACCCTAATTCGTTCCGTGAGTGCCATAAGACACGAGAGACCGTATAATACAATGAAGGCTCCGTATTCACTAGATGCGTGCGAGGAGGCGTAGCGGAGCTGTGAATCGGTGAAACGTTTTCACCAAAGCTTTACGGTGCGAGGATGTGTAGCAGACTAATGCTGACCGGGAAGATATATTGACTGGTAGTCTTGTAGCTCACTTAGCGACATCACCTGATACACATTCCTCTCACCTCGCTTGTTTTCAAGCGTCTCCAAAAAATTAGGAGAAGTTTCTCACTTCGACTGTATTTTTTTTAGTGTCTTACCTCAGAAATTTCCAGGTGAACCTATTTTAATGATTATTTTTCTACCGACTTCAAAAAGGAGACGGTACTCAATTCGATTGTATGTTTTTTTCTGTGTGTTACCTCATAACTTTTTTTTCTGGGTAAACCGATTATTTTTTGAAGCTGTTGCTTCTCATGTGGTTCCGTATAAATGTGATCAAGGTCAGACCAATAGTTTTTGAGTTATTCTTAATAATTTATATTGAAGTCGGTTGTACAAAATTTTAAATTTTAAATTATGGTTTTAGTATGTGGGCTTTTTTTTTAAATTTATATGTTGTAAATTTTTCACAGAAATTTTACATTGGTCACACAACTTTCATAAATTTATTACACTGAGAGTGGAGAAACAGTTTACGCTATTTGATACATAATTGTCTTCCACTCTATATTACTACTAATTCTAATTTGATGTTTTTTAAAAAAAAGTTTGCATTTTGTTTCAGATTTTGTAAGTAATGGTTTGAACAAATTTAGTCGTCTGCACCTTGATTATGCCTGTGGGCTATTTTAACGAATAACAAAAATTAATAATGAATAATAATAGAATACTGCACTAACCAGTTTGCTCTTGAGGTTCTACAGGTGGTAAATATTGATCCAAAAGCTTCATGGCGTAGGAAGCGCCCATGTCGACACCGTGTAGTGCCTTTTGGCCGTAGGCGGTGGACAGCAGAGCGTTGGCCTTTGCCCAAGAGAGTTCCTTAAGCGATTGCACGCGCTGTCCCGCCGCTGCACGTGCTGCGAACACCTGGAACAACGACGACATCATATTGAATCCTTTTAGACTATAAACATATAATTACAGAGGATATAGAGCAGGGCGAGACCGCCACACATAATAATAGTATGGATTTGAAATGTCACAATCATGGCTACGAAATATTATTCACAAAAATATAATATGTGTTCTTATATTTCCGAGATTAATATTTCGATTTATTTAACATTTTGCAACACCGACGTGTGCGTGAAAATTCAGTGTTATCAATTACATTGTTGGCCAACATAATTCAGTTTGTTTATCCGTTCAAAACATTAGGGAACTTGCATTGTGTATGTGCTTTAACGGCTCACCTCGTTTATGGTATAAATATAATTATGTTATAATTATGTTATAAATAACCAAAAAAAAAAACTGGTGTTAACAGATCAAGGTCGCAGATTTATTACCTTTTATGGAAGTGGCAGATAAAACGAACACACAGTCCACCTGATGGTAAGTGGCCCATATACACCATCTTAACCTTTTAAAAAAATAAAATTAAAATTCAAAGGTTACAAATATTATACTATTAAATCTACTAAATTACTACAATTAAGTTATTTCATTATATTATTTATAACATAATTATATTTGGGTGTAATTTCGATTTATTTAACATTTTGCAACACCGACGTGTGCGTGAAAATTCAGTGTTATCAATTACACTGTTGGCCAACATAATTCAGTTTGTTTATCCGTTCAAAACATTAGGGAACTTGCATTGTGTATGTGCTTTAACGGCTCACCTCGTAAAGGAAATATAATGATGGAAATTAAGAATATATAAACGTATATTACAATACATTTTGTCTTTTATATTGACGGCTTCGTGGTACAGTGGCACATCAATGAGTTGCGGGGCTGGGGGTTCGAATGCCGCACGGAAGTATTTGTATGGCCTACAAATAATTGTTTCGGGTCTGAATGAAAATCATTTAATGATTTCTTATAGTTACGCGAATACGAGAGCGGTTTGAAAAGTTTTCGGGCCGACTAAGAAAACAAAGAAAATAAATATTAAAAAAATGTTTCATTTTTCTACATACTCTCTCCTTATCGCAATACACTTATTCAATCTATGCTCTAGCGCTCCTATGCCGCTCTTATAGGCTGATTCCTCCAGCTCTTTAAAAAAACCGCTCCGTGTCGGCTATCAACTCTTCGTTTTTTATATAATAAGGTTAACAAACGAGCACACAGTCCACCTGATAGTAAGTGTTTGCTGTGGCTCATATACATCTACATCTATCTTCGTTTGCGAATTAAAATGCAGATGCGTCGTCAGCCGTGAGGACTAAGATAGAATGCCTCTTTTCCAGTAAAAAGGGTCTCCGGTTCTCTACACTCACCATACGAAACACAGCAGCACTAAGCTGCTATTTGACGCTGGTATTCTGTGAGAGCGTGGTCCTTCCCCGGTCGAGCCGACCCATTCGTGGTATAACTACACTACTAATATAGCTGCAACATGGCTCTACCACGTATGAATGTTTGTGGAAATATTTCATCAACCAGGTGTTTTCTCAATTTAGAAAACAGAAAATAATTCACTGAACATAAAAGATCGTTTAATACTTTGAAACAGAGTTTATGTAGTTAAGCCATTGCAGCAATTGTCTTGTGCGCCGATGCATTACCCTGATGAAAAAGAATTATCTTTTTGACCAATCCCGGCCGCTTTTCACGAATTTTGTCGGATAATTTATCTAACAGGTTAGCATTGCATGGGCCTGTTATAGTCTGTTCTTTGAAAAGCTATTCAATAAAAATAATTCCCATGTAATCCCAAAACACTGATGCCATCAATTTTCCCGCCAATTTTGCGACTTGGCGTTCTTCGATGGCGGAGAATCACTATGTTTCCATTGTTTCGACTGTTGTTTAGTCTCAGGAATATGGTGGTGAATCCAAGTTTCATCAGTAATAATCATAAATGTTCTTAAAAAGCTGTTAGTATTTGAAACAACGCCAGATTTAGTTTAGCCCGGTTGAGTTTGTGTTCGGCGGTTAACAAACGCGCACACCACTCTCAAAAATACGACATGTGTTTCGCCTCTACACGAGGCATCCTCTACATCGAGCATCAAATTAAGTAATTTCGCGTAAAGTAAGAAAACCGCTAACCCAAACCCTTTGACTGGATTTATCATAATCGTAATGTCTGAATAGTTCGGAAAATTCAAAAGTACACGCCTCATGAGCGTTTCATTTAAATTTGGTAAAAAAATTAATTACCAAAATAAATCGATTAAACAAAGTATAAAATCGATATAGGTTGTATGGTACATTTGTCCTTTGTCTGTCAATGGCTAAAGAAGAAAATGAAAGCGCCTATAAATTTTTAATAGTAACAAAATTTATAAAACTTCAAAATCATTTTATTAATAAACGATGCATACTAGGCTATTGATATGAAGTCGGGAACCAGTTGACGTAATTCTGAAGTTATGAAAAAAATCCGGTCTCGATACGTCAATTCTTTCGGGAGTTATCGTGACCACATACAAAATCAACACCCGGACGTCCACGTGAAAATTTTTTTCAAACCGTTTTTTTTATCAAAGTAGCAATATAAGATGATTTTTTAGAAAATATAAGATGGATCAGTTAGCGTTTTCTTGATATACGGCTATACATATTATCGTATAAGTGCAATATGGTTATGATAGAGGTATTTTAAGACCTGATAATTGCTTGACCTTGGCGTGTCGAGAGTAATACACTACCTAATAACGTTTCGCGTTATGAGGCGTGCAATAGTTACATTGAAAATTCGACCCACTATTTTGTCACCTTAGGGGCTGAATATTTTCTCCAAATTTAAGTACCCATATGTGACCACCCGTGTCTGACGTGTGGTAAGTGACTGATAAGATTTGCAGGAAGTCGATGGATGCAGGTGGTTCAGGACCGTGCTTTGTGGCATTCCTTAGGGAGGCCTATGTTCAGCAGTGGACTTGTGAAGGGATGTAATGAATTAATGAATGTGACCACCCCTGAAGTATAAACCCAAAAATTTATTAAAATAACTTAAAGGGGAATGCCCACCGTTCATAGACACTTCGGCCATGGATCCCCACATATAAAAGCATATAGAAATGATAATATGCAATTAAAAGAATGAAATGGTTAAGGAATTGGTTTAAAAAAAGTCCGGATTTTTTAGATATAAAGGTTTTTTATTTTCACAAGAACAGTTTTTAACAACAAATGACTTCGTATTTTCGTGACATTTAAACCAAAATTGACACAGCGTAAATATCCTATTGAATGAGTTACTGAGAGTTGGGAAGAACTCTGGCCGGTGTGAAAGCTGAGGTCATCGTTAACAGTGGATATCGAGTCCAAGTTCGTGCAGAGGTTATTGTAAGAAAAGGGAGCGGGATCCATTTTCAGGCCGTGGTCAATAGGATGAGAAGAATTATCGGAGTCCATTTAGAAAGCTTATTCGTTGCTTAGATAACAAATCCGCGAGAAAACAAACAAAATAACACAAATGCAAAGGAATTCGACTTGTGACTATTTAGTTTTGATAATTATGACATGAGCCTAGCTGTCAGATTCGATGTTGCCAATTAACAGACATAAAATCGATAAATAGATAGCGATTTTTTTAATTCGATTTATAGTTTCATAAAAAAGAATAATCTTTGATTTGCTTTACGGTCTGCGCCTTTTAAAATATGTTTTGTTTTATTTGTTTAAATTTCATTTTAAATGTATTTTACTAACAGATAAGAATAACAGTTAAATTGTGCAATTGCGTTTTTGTTATATTCTAAAGAGTTCATGGTAAATCAACTAGCAATTCGCTTGTTTAATTATCATAACATCATAATAATTATCGTAAAATAATATTACCATTATAATAATGATAAAAAACAGAATCGACTTTTTTAACGAGATTTGTGATTGGCAACACCTTTTATTTTATCCACAAACTAATGACTTGCGGATTTACCTAATTTCATTTTCATCTTTTTGGTACCTTTTTTGTGCAAAAATATTGCAATCGTTTTTGGATACATAAATACCGCGATTAATTACAATAAAAAAAGATGTATTTTTTTAACAAATGCAAATTGTTGGGCTTTTCATGGCCAGAATTGGGCATTCGCCTTTATATACTTCAAGGCTGGTCCCATATAAATTTAGAGAAATATATTCCATACCTAAGGGTAGGAAATAAATAACTTCTTTTTTAGTAACTTAAAGTAGGTTTTCACTTTTTTTTAAGTTATAAGTTATTTTGGAATCAGATAAAATTCAAATTATACGTCGGTCACAATAAGGCCTGAAATATTCTAAATTCTGTAAATTCCACCAGCTTTCGTCATCGAAAAAATCGTATCAAGGACCGATGACAATAAAATAATTTCATGTTGATGACCTAGTGTTTTTACTAGGATCATCACAACTCATGATCCATGTGTGTTGTTTTAGTTTTTTTAAAACTGTATATTATTCTATTTGACCAGTTTACGATTCGTATACTCTAAAAATAAAGATATCCACATAATGCATATAACACATTGGTAACCGATTGATGATTAGAAATATCGAAATGATTTGTGAACAAGTGATAAAATAAAAAAATTTGTGCACCCGATTTCAATATAAATAAAATGAGAGGAGAATTTAGTCGAAGTTAATTAAATACACATTATTAAGGACGGACATAGAGAAATTCCGGATTCTAAGAGAGCATTTAAGTAGCAATTAATTGGCATACAGATTAATTTAAAAACGTGGATATTTTATGTTTTATCGCAAAATAAAATTTTCGAAAATTGATTTTTTTTTTAAATTTATTATAAATTAACTAATAGTAATAGACGTGGGGCAATTAAATATTCTAAGGGAGCATTTATGGAGCAACTAATTGGCAAACAGTTTAATTAAAAAAATGTTCTACGCTAACTTCCTTCTGGTTATTAAATTACTGCAAAATTTTAGCCTATGACGAGGAAAAGATTGACATTCAATAAGTATTATGTAATAATCTATATTTAATAAAAATATATTCTATTCTATTATACTTGGTCTTCAGGAGTCACAACACTTCTATTGGCTTGCTTAAGCTCGGTTGCTGGTATCAATGGCTTTTTTATAGAATAAGGGTAACAAACGAGCATGTTAGTCAGAATTTAACAATCATAAATTATGCTTAAACAATTTATTGGTACCTATTATAATATAATATATGTATATGCACGATAAACGAATTGTTCTTTCGTAAGATCGCATATTTCGTTTAATCACAATTTTATACGTGGTAGAGCCATGCTGCAGCTATATTAGTAGTACAGTTGTAGCACGAATGGGTCGGCTCGACTGGGGAAGGACCACGCTCTCACAGAATACCAGCGTAAAATAGCAGTTTAACACTGCTGTGTTTCGTATGGTGAGTGTAGAGAACCGGAGACCCTTTTTACTGGAAAAGAGGCATTTCATCTTAGTCCTCACGGGTGATAACGCATCTGCATTTTGATTCGCAACCGAGGATAGATGTAGATGTCTATAGGCCACAGCAACCACTTACCATTAGGTGGACTGTGTGTTCGTTTGTCACCCTAACCTATAAAAAATATAAGTTGAACTCAGAGTTAATTCGAATTAGAAAATCGAGTTAACCCATCACTACCCTGAACTGTGTGCAAAGGTAACACAATGCATTTTTACTGCTGTCACTATTTTGTGATTACAAACATCCTTTTACAGACACTGTTAAATGATAATGTGTCACCTTGTTATGGTATATTAAATAAGATTACCTGGCTTACCTTATTAATATGTGGCGACAATCTCGACATCACGGCCTGTTTTGTAGTCTCCACGATGACCTTAGGCTGTTCATTCACAAGCGGTACTCTGCGACCGAGCTCGTCTATCGCGGCGGCCATCTTGGCGTCGCCGGCGGCCAGTGGGGACGACACGTAGGGCGCGGCTTTTGCCGCCGCGAAGGATACGCTGGCTTCCGCCGTTGATAGGGCCCATTCTAACAGCGAGTGAGCACCTGAGATAAGACAAGCGAATTTATTTTCACTGCTTAAGGTGACACTAGTCGACAATATTTCCATACAAATTTCGGAGGGGTTTTACTACGCTGTTTGACAGTGTACATCCAAAGTTAAACATGATATCGTTTTGTCTCATTATTAAATTTGTCTGTACGGAAACAGAATAGTAAAATAAAATGTTATTAAAAAGTTACGGGCTACCAAAGATTCGTTTTTATTGCCAATTTTAACACAACTTTGGGCGTAAATTAGTAATAAAAGAAGTGTAAAATTTCCAAAACAAAGTCGGTACCGACACAGCTCAATTATCGAAGAATTCAATAAATTTTATTCGTAATTGATTTATGCAGTGGTTTTTTCATAAAACCCCTTCTTCTAAAGGCCTTTTCGTATTTTTTTACGCGCGTATGTTACTATGAATTATCGTGCATCTCACTGAATAATGTTTCCCCCGGTGCGGTGCGGGAGGCCGGGAGGACGACGCTTACACACACATGCATGGGCGGTGACGCGCGCTTTTTCGAGTTTTATTCGAAACGAAAAGTTTTGCTATTTTGTAATTTGGACGCCAAAGACAAAAGACAGCATGGAAATTGATATAATTGAAAGAGATGATGCGTTTTGGACGACAGACAATATTGTAAAATTTTCGTCTGTAATATAATATAATTATAAAAGTAAAAAAAGTAAAGTCTATATACGATTACTATATAAAATTGCAACAATTTCATTGGTGCCGACGGGGATCGAACCCGGGTTGCTCGCGTAATGTGATACTTACGGCGAGCGCTAACCATCTGAGCTACCACGGCTCTCAATGCAAGTGTTATAAATAAATAAAGAATTACAAAACAGTTTAATTATTTATTAGACGACTCTTGCGGCGGACAAACAAGGTATAATATGTGGGATTTTCATAGGTACCTACTGTTATTACCTAGATACCTACAACCTACAATACAACAAAATGTCACAAAACGTCACCGCGTCGTGGCCACAAAATTGTAAACTTTAGGTAGGTACGTCAGTACTAAGAAAACAATCTTGATGGGTCACTTGTCTTGATAAAAACCTGTGTTTACGTTTAGTGATATTGAGTATATATAAAAAAGTAAGAATACAGGTGTAAGTATTTTTTAAAACAATTTATAGGTAGGCAGAACTAATTACAATTATTATCTAAATATTATAAATGCGAAAGTTTAGATATTTGGATGGACGGATGAATGGATGTATGTTACTCAATCACACCAGAACCGCTGAAGGGACCTGGATGATATTTTGCTCCGAGACAGGTTATAGGTCTGGAATTTTATTTTTTAAAAAAACGTTACCCCCACACTAGGATTTTCTCCTGTATCGTGGAGGCAGTTTACAAACATCCAGACCCGGAACAACTATTTGCAGGCCATACAAATACTTGTTCCGTGCGGGATTCGAACCCGCGGCTCCCAGTGCAACAATTCATTGCTAAGCAACTGCGCCACGGAGCTGTAAATAACATATATGATACCGTTTATTCAGGTATTTCGTTCCCGTTGGATAATTTTTGCAGTTACACACGTTCGAAGCCGAACTTTTGAGTGATCGCTGCATGACCACTCGGGAAAAACTAAACATAATAAAGTAAGCAATCTATATTAGGTATATAGAGCCACAGAGGTATAATATGAAGCGATAAAGCAGCGCCTAATAATTTCGCGGTTTCACCCGCGTCATCACGTGTCCGAGATGCGTGGCATGACATGACACCTAGTTCAAGCATTTTATAATTGCAATCAAATATTTTATTTGATAATAATGTATGGAAAAATTGTCATGATTAATGGAGTACTTTTATTTTATCTGTCGGCATACTATGCGCGGTTTTATCCAGTTTTAAAGAAAAACGTACACGATATATGAAAGTGTGTAGGCAAAAAATGATTCTTGATAAATTTGCTATCAACCTCTTATACTTATTAATCAATTAAACTTTCAAAATACCATAGCAACGTGAAATGAAAGAGTTCAGAAATAAAGATGTAAGTAACTAATCATTGTTACGCTCACCTGTGAGATAGATAAAAGCACTCAGTTAATTTTGAATTTATTTTAGCTACCAGCTGTCCCCGCGACTTCCTCCGCATTTAGTTTAGGGTGTTAATTTTGTTGCACGGACACCTAATAATTTTTCTAAAATTTAAGCAGTCTAAGTTACTTCTTATAACATGAGCTATCTACTAGTGAAAGTCCCGTCAAAATCGGTCCAGCCGTTTTGGAAATTAACCGGAACAAACAGACTGACAGACATACAAAAATGTTAAAAATTGTGTGTTATAAGTAGCGTATATAATTTCATATGCAATTAGTAAAAAGCTGTTATTTTGACATTACAAACAGACACTTCAATTTTATTTATTTGTGTAGATATTAGATAATGATTGAACTAACGGCTAACCTAACCTCGCTCATAGAAGCTTTCAATACTGGCTTCTCAGTTCGCACCGGGCTAGGAGTTATGCGTTGTTTGCGCGTCAAGGCCAAGTATTGAATTATTTTAATTTTACATTATCTCTTAAACTATGTACTATATAAACATGGTATAAAGAACGAACTTTATCTTCAAAAAATTGTCTTGATAATGAAGTAACTTTCGTTCGTAAGGATAAATATGCCATGCCTAATAATTAAATTTTCATTTTTTTTGTCAAAATCAAAATGCCTAATTGTGGCTTATATATAAAAAATAGAGATATGGTATCGCGGACTTTTTTTTAGACGAAGTAAACTTCTATATTTTCTGCTTTATTATATTAGTATAGATGTTGCATCGTGTTCGTGTAACTTCGTTTTTGTTCAAACGGTTCTGAATGCCGTACGAACAAGACGTGCGTGAATACTAGTGTCGATATGCTCATCACTGATACTATCTCTGTCGGGCACGATGCCAGGTGAGACAGCGTGCTTTTTGGCCGCGCCCACCAGCGAGTTCGAGCCCGCGACTTGTGCCACCTTAAAGGAGATGAATGACGAAATCTACAGAAATTATAAAACTATTGTAGCAGTAGTAGCTTAAGGACTAAGCGCTCGCTCTAAATCCATACAAATAAATAAAATTTAAATATCTGTTTGTAATGTTAAAAAAAACGTCTTTTTACATAATGCATATGAAAGTATATACGGTACTTATAACAAAAAACAATTTAAAAATTGTTGTGTGTTTGTCTATTTATAGGTCTCTCTGTCTGTCTGTTTGCTTTCACTGGCAGATAACTGATGTTATAAGGAGTAACTTAGGCTATGTTAATTTAAAAAAAAAAACGTTTGGGTTATCGCGAAATAAATCTAAACCTATGAAATCCAACCGTCATAAATTGTACGAGGGCGAAGTCGCGGGGAACAGCTAGTTTAAAGATATCCGAGCATATGATGGAATTGTTAAATGCAATTTTAGGTGTATATTTATTACATGCTCAGCGCCGTAGAGAACCTGTAAGTCTGCAGATATTTATTATTTCGAAAACATACTATGAAGTTTGCAAACACGTACTGGAGCAGCGAAGCGGACACGTTGCTCAGTTACCTTCTTAGAAATGAGAGGAGGCCTGTGTCCAGCATCAGAATAAATATAGGCTGTATTTTTCTATTACTAATATGAGGATCGGAGTTAAATGAGCTTTGTTCGGCATTAGATAAAAGAATCTCATCCCTGAGTATTTTTTATAATGTCGAGCAAAGCTCCTAGAGTCTAGAAACCTAACCAAAACCTAGAAACCTGTCTATATATAAACTTAGTAAGTCAAACATTATCTAAATGAAAAAAATCATCCAAATTGTTGGCAGTTGCAGAGAAACAAATATTTAATAAAAGTTAAAGTGAGTGTGCGCAGGATTTACATGATTTAATTTCTCCCTCCCCTTTTTACCAGTAGACAACCAGACGGTCGTCGGGGCTCCATCCCTTTGTTGGCCATAACACACGCATTTAAACCAAACAGTTTGCTTTGGTCTTTCGTAATTCGAACAGCAAAGGAGTGGAGTAATGTGCCGGGGCAAGAGTGAATAGGGTTAAGTTATATATCAAATCAGACCAAGAAGCAAAAACCAAGCTCAACTCCTTGAGACGCACTCACGCACTCATTTTTTTTTTTACTTTATCAGATCGTAAAATTTTTCTGCTGAATTGCACCTAAACCATGTTGTTAGCAGAAAATAATTTTAGGTCACTGACTTCCATTTAAACTAATACGCTGTACCGGCTACAGGCAATCTCCGATTGCCAGTAGAGTAGAGGCGATGCCAATCTTGTGAAGTTCAACACCTCCAAAACACAAGCGTGTCTCTTAACTGCAAAAAGAAGCCAGCTCACCTTGGCTCCTTCTTTATGAAATGTATCACTGAAATACACCGACCGCCTTCAGTTGTTAGGGCTTGAGATATCCTCAAATTTGGACTTCGGGCGGTACATTGAGCCCAAGGCCAAAGCAATAGCAAGGAAGCTGGGAGTTCTTGCAAAGGTGCGGCGATACTTCACGCCGGGACAGATGCTTACTTTATATAAAGCGCAAGTCCGGTTGTGCATGGAGTATTGTTGCCATACATGGGCTGGTGCTGCAAAATGCCACCTAGCAGCTTTGGACTCAATGGAAAGGCGTGCTAAGAGGCTTATTAGTGACCCGAATTTGGTTGAAACCAATCTTACCAGCCTCGAACACAGACCTAAAGTAGCCAGCCTTTAGGTTTTCTACAGGATGCATTTCGGAGAGTGTGTGCAGGAATTGCATAATTTAATTCCTCCCTCTCCCTTCCACCATCGGACAACCAGACGTTCGCCCAGTCTCCACCCTTTCGTTGTTGACTTACTATGCATTTGAACCAAACGGTTCGCCACGTCGTTCATCATGCGTACAGCAAAGGAGTGGAATAAGTTGCGAGCATCTTTTCAGTCTTTCCATCCGATTACAGTGTGGGTGTCTTCAAGGCAAGAGTGAATAGGCATTTGTTAAGTCAGTGGCGCTTCACCATCTTAGGCTACATCACCACTTACCATCAGGTGGGATCGTAGATAAGCTCTGGCTTAGTAGAATATTACTGGCTATACCATACAAAACGTTTGTGGCAATTTGATGAGCCGTCATCGAGATTTGACATAATTTGCAAATTACCGTTTTGTTGCTCAAAACGTCTAAGAGAATTTTAAACGAGAAAAAGAGTGTATGTTGTGTACTTCGATTATGTTTCATGTTAGTAATATAATTAAAAGTATTTTTTTACATAAGTAATAATTGATACATTTATTTCTTGAATGGCATTATATTATTTATACGTGGTAGAGCCATGCTGCAGCTATATTATGGTTGTAGCACGAATGGGTCGGCTCGACCGGGGAAGGACCACGGTCTCACAGAATACCAGCGTAAAATAGCAGCTTAACGCTGCTGTGTTTCGTATGGTGAGTGTAGAGAACCGGAGACCCTTTTTACTGGAAACGAGGCATTCCATCTTAGTCCTCACGGGAGACAACGCATCTGCATTTTGATTCTTAATCGAAGATAGTTGTAGATGTCTATGGGCCACAGCAACCACTTGCCATCAGGTGGACTGTGTGCTCGTTTGTCACCCTTATCCTATAAAAGAAATATTATACATAAATGGAATGGACGTTACGGGTAAGGCTGGATAATATAAGTAAAATTATGCAATTCTATATTATTTAGGCTCGTTTTTGCCGGTTATCAGAACATCGTCAAGTAAATAATGTACTCCATTTAACCCTGCTAGCACATATTCCATTGCACGCTGGAAAATAGTCCGCGCACTAGCTAAGCCAAACACTAAACGCGTGTAAGAAAATAAACCCCGATGGGTATTGATACAGGTTAGCTTTTGGGATTCTTCATTAGGCAAAATTGATTATACTATTGAGAGTTGACCTCTCAATAATATAATTGATTATATTATTGAGAGGTCAAGCTTAGTAAAGTATTGGCCCCCATGTAACTTACAGATAAGTTAATTAACCGTCGGCAATGGATATTGGTCTATAACCAACTGTTTGTTTAAGCTAACAGAATAATCTACACATATTCCGACAGAGCCATCGCGTTTAAGTACGGGTACGATTGGGGATGCTTATTTAGAATAATTAACCGGACGAAGTACCCCTAGATCGACCAACCTCTTTAGTTCGCTTTCTATTTAGTTTATCACTCAAAGCGAAAGCAATAGAACGCGCCTTAAAAACAATGGCTTAACGTTCTCTTTGAAGGTTAACTAACTTCATATTTGTTGGAAAACCGAAGTTCTTTAGAAAATAGTTTAGGATAACGTATGTGGAGCGTTTCAATTTCATTCTGTATTTGCTTACAATATTGTACTGGCGTCAGTTGAAGTGCGAAACGTGTAATAAAATCCCTACCGAGTAGTGGCGGGCCGCCATTGCGAACTACATAAATGTCTCAAGCATACGCGTTCGACCCCGCCACTGAAGCGACATCTGGTCACGGCCGGCGCAACCTAAAACTTCACCGATGTAACTCACTAATTTCTTTTTAGTGAACGATAATGGCACATCGTGGAAATGCAATTTATATTTTTACCGCCGATCCGCTATCGATTTGAAATTCTAAATCTATGACATTCACAATAACGGTTTCTACTAAAGGCTCGCCCCTTAACTGATCGTATATTAAATATCTTACCGTCATCGCTGTCCTCGCCCACCTCACTCGTATTTACGTAATTCATTTTTAGCGAAACGACACACCGACGCATTGTGACTCGTATAACCACATTCCGCACACTTTTGACGAGAACACACGCACTTCGAATCCTGACCAATCTTGTATATCTGGTCCGTCGTGGCACTAGTGACGACGGTAGTGCTGGCGGCAACTACCCGCACACTTCGTATGTTCTCCGCTAACTCGAACAGCCTTTGTAATGCGATACCCGAAATATCCCGCATATATAACTTTTCTTTTTCCACTCCCGGCAGTATACCCAAAATAAACCGAACCCTCAGTGCAGCCTCCACATTTGAATATTGGCAGTTAGCAATTAGGCCGCGCAGTTTAGCGACCCACTGTGACGGTGACTCGGCGGACTGTTGGGTAGCGGCATAGAAATTGTTGTCGCATTTATGTCGTTTGCAATAAGCCATTGCGTAATTCTGGTTCTAAATATCTTCCACAAGTAAGGTAAGGTAAGAGATCACAGCTAAACAACATTTTTTTTGTTTTAAAAACGCGGGTAAGAACTCGTCGCCAATGTTATTTTCGCGGATACGGAGCGCATGGGATTAGTTAAATACTCAACGGCTGTTGATGTACTGCTTACATTGCAAACATTATTATTGGGCGTGGACGCAGTCGCGCACATGTATAATACACACATCTCTAAAAAGTCAAGTAATAATAGGGTGGTATCTAACCAGATGGACCCCTAGGCATAAAGGAATTCCACCACTTACTTACAAACTTACATTTAATACGAAAATTCGATCCTTAACTAATATTCTAGATTAATGTAATTTCCATTGCACTTTGTGTTTGGTACAAAGTTGATGTTTACAATATGATGACAAGATGGCAACCTTAAAATAACAACCAAAGTGCAAAAATGCAATATTGCTAACTAAAGTAAAAGTACATCATTCTTCATCATCATTACAACCTTTCACCAGCCCACTGCTGAACATAGGCCTCCCCGAAGTTGCCACAAAGGACGGTTCTGTGCCAACTGCATCCATCGACTGCCTGCATTTCTTACCAGGTCGTCACTCCATCTAGTGGGGGTCGCCCTACACTTCGCCTACCGGTACGAGACTGCCACTCGAGAATCTTTTTTCCCCATCGGTTGTCGGTTCTTCGAGCTATATAGCCAGCCCATTGCCCATTGCCAAGTAAAAGTACAATAGCGAACTATTAAATTTATATTTCAATTTATATCTTAAGGTATTTAATTAGATTTTTAGATGTAAATTTCAAGTAGAAGTTATAAAATATTTTGTCCGAAACGAAAATAATTTACCTTAGTCATGTAATCAATGATAATAATAATGGTGTTAGTGGTCAAGGGAAATGTCAGTTCTTTACATGTCAAATAGTATATATTCTTTTTCACTTGTTTTAACCAATAAGATCAGAAGTGTTGAATATCTTAAATGATTTTGTGAACTGTTAAAACAATGTTATATAACAAAAGGCATAATATTATACAATGATCTAAACAAAGCATTACAGTTAAAAATTCGATATAGGTACTGACATTGCTTAAATCAGTGGAACGGTTATTGCGACGAAATGGTGGAATATATTTCATATTTTGTTACATGTTCTCATGTTTCTTTATAACCAGGTGATACAAATGTTTAGAAACTTACCCTTTACTCTGATATAGAATGCATTCACTTGCCCAACTGCAGCTTCTACTGTCGGCATTGCCATAACTTTCTGCACAGACTGCAACTGAGCCATTGTTGATGGTGACGTTCCTACTTCAGCTGCCATCTGATAACATTAAGAATGTTTACAAATGAAAATATTTAGCTTTAGATTACTATATTCAAATATTTTTCGGAGAGATTACAAATGATTGACTCAATAAATAACTTTTGAGGGTAAACTAAAAACTGTTCTACACAAAATTTTATATAAAAGATTTTAGCAATGAATCATCAAAGTATCATAATTTAATTGTGAAATATTAATAAATTTGATTAATATAATTATAAAAGATTAATAAAAAAATCGATAATTTTTTTTTAAATCGTGTTGCAATCGGTACTGCTCAAGACTGATTTATGTACAAAAAAACTTACATTTAATTTAATAAGACCGGATTCCACTAATTAAAAGCAGTAATACAGATATAGAACTATTTTATTAGGAGTAAATCTCGTGTAGCCCTGGCTGATGATTGCCGTTAAATGAGCAGAAACAGATTGCTTTCCTCAGTGACAAACGTACGTTGCCGATAGCAAGCGATGGCACGGCTTTTTAGAGTTCCGTAGTTACACAACAAGGAACCCTTATAGTTTTGCCACGTCCGTCCGTCCGCGGTTTTGATCAGAGATCCTAGGTGCTACAAATCTATAATTTGGCATAGTTATAGATATTAACCCTCCATCAACTATACAACATGAAAGTACTTATATACAATAGTAGTAGATATGTATAATGAAGTTAAAAGGAAAACTATCACAGCTACGTAGAAATAAGAAATTAACGAGTAAAGCCCGGTTTACATTTTCAGAAGTGACTAGTGTGAGTGGCAAGTGCAACTGACAGATGATAAGTGCTTAGTATGTGTGAACAGGCAGTGACAAGTGATAAGTGAGAACGCACTAAGCACTTTTCATGTCAAAAGTCGCTCCGACAAAATTTAAGGAAATTAATATATTAATATTGACCTCTCAACACATTTATGAAAATGTAATGTACGTACACAAAAATGAAAGTAGTTTTACAAAAATAAGTGATATTTATTATGTAAATACTAGGAACAGACACAAGCTAATAGTACCAGTTACTTGACTCCACCGAGTCTGTAATTCATTCTTGGGGCGATGTATACGCTTTAACAACAAAATCCTAGAAAATATACAAAATCTGACCTGCTCAAAGTTCAAAATCTTACTAAACAAACTTTGTATAAAAAGGGTTATTATAATATTAAAGAATTTATGGATGTTAATAAACCATGGGAATGAGGTGATCGCTACCAAGCTACTTCTAATTTGTTTTGTGTGGTTAATTGTGTAACATACGTTGTTTTGTTCGGATTAATCCCAGCCGCAAAATTTCACGAACGCACATCGCGGCAGAACTCCCGATACCATCCACACCATCTGGATGATTGGCGCTCCACCACTGTGCGATTTAGAAGATGTTTTCTTCCTCGCACGACTTCTTTGTGGAATCGATTACCATCAGCGATTTTTCCGGACCGATACGACTTAGGGACCTTCAAGAAAAGAGCGTACTCCTTTTTAAAAGGCCGGCAACGCATCTGCAATTCCCTCCCTGGTGTTGCAGTTGTTCATGGGCGGCGGTAGTCACTTACCATCAGATGAGCCGCATGCTCGTTTGCCCCCTCTCTTATAAAAAAAAACATACATGATTGTAAGCTGTTATTTATAAAAAAGTCCCGCTGGGTTCTTGCTGGTTCTTCCCAGGACAGAGGGTTTTTTTTTCAAACCAGTGGTAATTAAACAAAAGAGTGACTTTCAATAAGTATTATTTATAGTCTATATTGAATAAAAAAGTTTCTGTTTCTGTTTCATGTCAGTTGCACTTGCCGCTCGCACTTGTCACTTCTCTAAATGTAAGCCGGGCCTAATAGTCGACCAACTTATAAAATGGACTTGGACTAGTAAAAACTTCGTTACGACTCCATAGAAATAGCTGCATATATAACTTTGTAATGTTATGGTACTGTTAAAAATAAACATTTTATGAAGGAAACGGCTTACATGCATTACTACTATTAGCTTTACTTTTTCATTTGCGGGATAGATAGGGTATTATTATCAAAATCTTAAGTATTATATCCTATAAGGCTGATTTGAAAATAAGAAGTTCAGTTACGATCTTCCTATTTGAACTCACTTATTATGCTCATTTTTGATGGGCAACTACGGAACCCTACCTCTGCATTGTGCGTGGCCCGACACGCCATTGGTCAGTTTTTTTTATTATATACCCGCTACAGTTTGTCATGATTGGACTTTGAACAAAAGTAAGTGATTGTAATGGCGCGTCTCCACCAAAGTATTGTTGTCAACACAACATTTGTCAACACGTGTTGCCGACAAATGTTTCTGTAATCACCTAGTTTTAGCAACAAAACGAAACAATGTCAGGCATCGTGTTTCCATTTTCGGTGGCAACATCAAAGGAATACGCTTGTTGCCGACATTTGTTCCCTCGTTGGAGACGCTTCTTGCAACATTTTGAAACATTTTCGGAAACAAATGTCGTCAACTTTTGTTGATTTGTCAACAGTTGGAAACATAAATGTTGTCAACATTTTTGGTGGATACGCCTTTAGAACTTCGAACAACCTCATGTAAAGGTATGAGACGGTATTTATCGACAAGAGAGAATATATTTCTTGAGTATGAGTCAACTGAGTAAAAATAACACAATTAAATAATGCACATCATATGCAACTAAACAAATGTTATTACGTTAATTCCGTGCCACAACAAAGAATAACAAATACATTATGTTTTAATAAACAATAAAGAAAATACACCCAGAAATCCTTTCAGCTGAGTAAGGTTAGAAGGCTGTGACGGGAGCGAAGCGTAGCGCATCTCCCGCCATATCCTATTCTCAACTATAGTGCGAGTGGTGAATCCTAGACGTATTACTACCTGTGTTTAATAATTCTGTCTAATAATTGACAGAATGTTGGCTTCAAATGCGTATCAATAAATATAATTAAATTACAATTTAGTATTTGGAAACTGCTGATTTGAAAAGCACTCCTAAAAATTAAAAAGTGCATCTGACATGGGCTAGGATATTCGCGGTTAAGAATATCCACTACCCCATATCTTCCCGTGGGTGTCGTAAGAGGCGACAGTTGGAAACAGCCAGAATTTGGGCAACAGCATTTCCTGATAATATCATATATAACATTTTCCTGATAATAGCAATATAAAAATGAAAATACTGCGGTTGCCAACTCGCTTGCCAAGCGTGGCAACTATGGCAAATAACCCCCTGAAGAAAGTTACGAAGAGACGGCCCCCAGTTCCCGGCGGCCCCGCTTTTCCTGGCTACGGTGGCGACCATGGTAATGGGGCAGGGGATGCTAATAATCTCCGGTGGAGTTTAGGTTGCCACCTAAGACGACTCGACCTGGCAACATACAACGCACGCACCCTGAGGACGGACGAAAAAACCTGGAGTTGGAAGACTAAATGTACAGGTTTCGCTGGCATATTATAGGATTATCCGAGGTCCGAAGAAAGGGTGAGGACACGGTTATCCTCGAATCCAGCAACTTGTTTTATCACCGGGAGGGCGACCATCTGTCCCAAGTAGGTGTCGGATTTATCGTCCATAAGTCTCTCGATAAGAACGTTGTAAAAATTTGGAGTATGTCGACGAATGTTTCGTACCTTATACTCAGAATTACCAAAGGTATTCGCTGAAAGTCATATAGGTTTATGCGCCAACCTCGGCAAATACCAATGAGAAGGTGGAGGAAATTTATGAGTATATATTAAGAGCCATGAATTCGTCTAAAACCCACTATACGGTGTTAATGGGATGGACTTCAACGCAAAACTAGGCACAAGAAAGAAAGTTGAGCTGAAGGTAGGGAAATTCGCTACAAGTAAAGACACAGATAACAAATTTAAACAATACTTCATAATAATTATAAGAATTAATATTTATAAGAAAAGTTTGAAAAAAATTGATCTTTTGTAATTTGCGTTGCTCTTTTTGATGGGGTAAAAACAAACAAATCGACATAAGACGACTTTATGCTTTTGTTCTTCTCAAGGTACGAAATCATCATAGTGTCTGTGGAACACCTGCTTGTGGAATTTGAATCTGCTGCCTCAGTTGTCACAGCCACGTTCGTTAGACCGTGTGCAGGTGCAGATGAGGTTGATTTGTGCTGAGAAAACTAAATAGTCTATATATTTTCTACCAATTTCAAAAAGGAGGAGTTACTCAATTCGACTGTATGTTTTTTTATGTGTGTTTCAGATCGAAAACCTCTAATACATAAAATGTGTTAGTGAATCAAAATCGTCAGAAATCATGTTTTGGTGGTAAAATTAAAGCATTTTCAATTGGGGAAAAGGTTTGGGTACGAGACTATCAAGCCAATCCAAAAAGACCAACATGGATCCTTGGCCAGGCCGTTGCACGTTTCGGTAAAGTTCTATATGAGGTGGCGATACAGAGATCCGATATCATTTGGAGACATCATGTGAATCAGTTAATGTCAGCCAATTATTTAACAGCAGTAATGGTGAAGCGGCGTGGACGTTTGAGGATATGGACGTTGGGAGCATTGGCAGATCCCAGTGCCGCCTCTCATGATACACTGGCATCATTACCTCTCAATAGCCCAGGCGGTGCGCTAGCCGCACGACCACCGGGACCTGACGGCGGTGAGGTGGCACCGGTGCTGACTCACGCGGAGTCTGATATGGAAGACGTGTCCCCACCGCCTCAAACCTCCACGACCATGTGCACTCGTTCTGGCCGCGCTATAAAACCACCTAAATGCTTAATTTTATAATATTTATACTTACTAAATGTAATGTAAACATTTGTTTTGTTTATGATTATTTTTTTGTGTATTCATAATAAACGTGGAGGAGAGGTGGTAAAGTCGAGTGATTAATGTAATTTTTTTTTATTATACATAAAACAATGTATGTATTGTACTATATGTCGTTTTGATTTATTTTATGCTAAATTGTGTAAGCGCAACATGCTTCCCAAAAAAAAAAATGTGCTACTTCTTAATAATTAATTATACTACTTAGCATTTGTTGTAAATGTTTATAATATATAGTATATTACGTTGTAATCTAAGTGTGGAGGGTTGTAGCATATTATGTTGGTAGATAATAATAACGGTTTCTACGGCTACCCTATATTGTGTGAATAAATGATCGTTTACGGCTTCGGTGTGTTTAAATAAGCCCTTCCTGTATTCCTTAAATAGCAAGGACATTACAGTTACCTCCTAACTTTTTTCTGTGTGAACGGATTACGATGATTCTTTTTTATTTGAAAGCTGGTGCTTGGTCCCATATACATTTGATCGAGGTCTGACTAATAGTTTTTGAGTTATCCTTAATAATTTATATTGAAGTCGGTTGTACAAATTTTTCAATTTTAAATTATTAAGTATCTGACATTGTTTTTGACGGCTCCGTGGCGCAGTGGCTTAACAATGAGTACCAATCTCGCACAGAACTAATATTTGTATAGCCTACAAATAATTCTTCCTGATCTGGATGTTTATCCTAGTGCAATTTATGTATATAGCCTGCATATATTATTATATTACATTTATAGGTGGTAGAGCCATGTTGCAGCTATATTGGTCACGAATGGGTCGGTTCGACCGAGGCAGGGCCACGCTCTCACAGAATACCAGCGTAAAATAGCAGCTCAACACTGCTGTGTTTCGTATGGTGAGTGTAGAGAACCGGAGACCTTTTTAACTGGAAAAGAGGCATTCCATCTTAGTCCTCACGGCTGACAACGTATTTGCATTTTGATTTACAAACGAGAATACATGTAGATGCCTATGGGCCACAGCAACCACTTACCATCAGGTGGTCTGTGTGCTCGTTTGTCACCCTATCCTATAAAAAAAAATACGAGACAGGAGAAAATCCTAGTATTGGGGTAACGTTATAAGAGAAATATTTTAGATTTCTTAGAATTGATTGAGATTATCTATCTAGAGATCCGTGTGTTAGCGGCCTAAAGAACCCATCATCCCATTTCTTCACGTGTGTTTCGTATGTGGAAATGGTCATAAAGATTTCTGACAGATGGTGGTATTACAGTCGATCACAAGTGCACTGACACTGAGAGAGCCGTGGTAGCTCAGGGGTTAAGTGCTCACTGTATATTTCACAGTACGCAAGCGATCCGGGTTTGATCCCCGCAAGCACCGATGAAATGGTTAATTGCAATTTAATGTGCTGATTTACCTCGTGCTCGGCGGTGAAGAAAAACATCGTGAGGAAACCTGAATGTCTGAGAAATAAGAAAAAAGATAATGGAATAAAACTAATTTAACGGATTTTATCGCAAATAATTTTAGCTTTTTGAATTTCCGACGTTTTTGGCACTTTCTAGCACCCATGGTCACATGAGGACGCGATAAAATTCGTTAAATTAGTTTTATTCCATGTGTTGTATTCGCGTAAATTTAAGAAATTATAACAAAAAATAATATCTCGAAGACATGTGAATTTCATCAACACGGATGAGGACAGGGCGGCGGACATTTTCTTGCCCTAAAACCCTCTCAGAAATGAGAAGAGGCCTGTGCCCAACAGTGGGACGTATGTAGGCTGTAACAACTTGTTAAAAAGTGCAATGTCACAAAGTACTCTCTCCCTAAGACTGCGACAAAACACGGTTGTCAACATCCATCGGCTTTTTGCGTATCTCACAATACCTATTAGTTTCATCTAGCTTAGTTGTATTATTATTATATCCAAGTGTCCAGTATTGTGAATTTAAATGTTCTTCTTACACTAAATGTGTTTAATTTTACTTATTTAAATTAATACTTCATCATCATCATCATCTCAGCATATCACAAATCTACTATTCATCATAGACCTCTTTCGTAGATTAGTGTGGTTCTGTGCTACTTAAATTGATCAACTACCCGCATGTGTCAACAAGTCTTCACTCTATTTAGTGAGTGTTCGTTTTTTTTAAACTAGCTTTACGGCTCTGGGTTCTAGCCCTTCTGAGGCTTAGTAAGTGTTCGAAAATCACTACGCTTGAGAGTAAGGGAGTGCCTCGGGATATTTTACCCTCAGTTGTCTGTTCCTCGAAAAACATTTCCGGCCCTTGGTTAGACTCAAATTAACCTTGTCCTTTACGGATAACCTTGTTACAGATTTTACAGCGCAGACGCCCTAGCGTAGCCTTCTCGCTACGTGATTTTGAAATTCCCTCATGTAAGCGTGGGCTTCATGGATGCGATAGCATTATTATAAGGAATGTTATATTTTATCCACAGAGAGTAAGATGATGTTTTTATACGTGACATTAAACAAGTTGTAAAATTGAAAGATTTGTACAACCGACTTCAATATAACAACTGACAGAAATAAGAGTGTACCGTGGTATACAGAACACTTCTGCGTACCCTTTTAGAGATGTCGGCTTTAGAGGGCGTGATGTTATGTGATGTGATTGCGTAACGAATGCTTAGGTATGCGATAACAGCAATCGCGATTGATTTACTGGCGTTTATTGAAGTGTTCCGTTGTCTGTATCCAAAAGTCATCACAGCCCATATACGAAATTTAAATGGGACCATGTCGGAATAAACCTCTTTCAAACAAAAACTGAATTTGGAAAACCGATCATGTGTGGCGTTATGCCCGAACATACATAAAAAATATTAACATTTGAATTGAGAACCTTCTCCTTTTTTGAAGTTGATTATATTTACCCAATAATGTAAATTAATTAATGATATAATTTACTCGTCTCTTTACCACCACGTACAATGCCATTTAAAAAATAATAAATACCATAATTAAAAATTAAAAATTTTGTACTGCCGACTTCAATATAAATTATTAAGAATAACTCAAAAACTATTGGTCTGGACTTGATCAAATTCATATGGGACCACATGTGAAGTACCAGCTTTCAAATAAAATAAGAATCATCGAAATCGGTTCAACCCATAACATGTTATGAGGTAACACACATTAAAAAAACATACAGTCGAATTGAGTACCGTCTCCTTTTTGAAGTCGGCAGAAAAGAGTATACCTACATTGTATTGCATCAACGAAAAGGCTCAGCATGATGCTGCTTCTGCAAATGTCGGATATTGTTTTCATTTATTTGTTATAATAAATAAGTAAATGGATATAATTGTATTTATGACTTATTAAATATATCGGATAGAGTCTGTAATCGCGAATATCATGATAAGATAATGAATATCAAGTTTTCTACATGTCGACAGTTAAACGTTGCATACGTTCATGATGGTGTAGTATATGTATATATTTACATTAATATTGTAAATATATATATACGTAATTTCCTTATTTTATGTATATATAAATAAAAGATGAAAATTAAATTAAAAGAGTGTTGTATTTGTTTGTGAATCGCTTAGTTCAAGGAAATGGGTGTCGATAAAAAATCTCAAAATGCAAATGACGGTAAAATGCAATTCGAAGCTGCATTGGATTGGGCAGGTTTGTATAAACAACTCCACGAACAACCAGCGTGTCTATTTCAACACTTATAAATATTTATTATGAATTTTACTAACCTTCTTTGCTTTATTAAGAAATGAATTTTAAACCGTTATTAATAAATAATCATATCCCAACGGATTAGTAAGCTAAAGTGGCAATGGGCTGGCCATATAGCTCGAAGAACCCACAGCCGATGGGGAAGAAAGGTTCTCAAGTAGCAGTAGCAGCCCCAAATCGGCAGGCGAAATGTAGGGCGTCCCTCCGCTATGGAGTGACGACCTGGTCAGACATGCAGGAAGTCAATGGATACAGGTGCTTCAGGATTTCTTAGTTGTAGCCAATGTTCAGCAGTGGAATTGTGAAGGCCTGTAATGATGATGATGAAAACTACTTTTACGGATTCTATCGCGATTAATTATGCTTATTTTTTAATGCCCGACGTTTCGGGTGCTATCCAGCACCCATGGTCACGGGGGCCTGAGGTGATTGACGTTACGATGTCATAGTTAACCCGGAGTACCTTCAGCTTTTTTAATTAATAGTTTTGGTCGGATCTACGCCGAATGAGCTTACTGTGTCTTGAAGGTTTACAGTGGTATGCTTGGGTTTAGTTTTATTTTGATTAACTACAGGAGTCCAAGCAGGTTTACAAATTGCAGATTACTCAGCCCCCCTCTCTATTGAAATTAGGATGTTTTTCTAATTTCAATAGCCTCACGTATCATCCTTGGCAGGAATCTATGTTTTTTTTTGCGAGAATTGTGGTCTATCTAATCTAATGTAATGGCAGGGGCCGTCTAGTATATGATCACAAACTGCAGACTTCCTGGAACGTTGGTGTTTCACGTCAGCTATGTGTTATTTTACGCGGATTTTGATAGATCGCTTTGTATGCCCTATATATGAGAGACCACATTCACTATCAAGCTTGTACATTCCTGCATCTTGTTGAGGGATGGTAAGAAGATCGGCGGCTTGAAGAATGAAAAATAAAGAAAAATATTCTAATAGAAGCTCGCTTCAAGATGTAGCCAATTTTGTCTGTGACACCTCTGACATACGGTAGTACAGCAGGCACGCGCTCGACTGTGGATGGCTTCACTCGGTCACTGTGACGTAGGCGCATAATAAAACCTACTTTAAATAAAAAGTAAAAACCAAATTCGAAGAACTAAAAAGAATTTAAAAAATCCCCTTAATAGCTTATGAAGTAGGTGCTTAGGCATAATGTACCGGAGATGATAACCCTGACTTCAAAAACAATTACGTAGAAATTATTTTGTTCCTTAATATTTTCAAGTTGATGTTGTCTTTTAATTTTTATTAAAAGTCTAATTTTTGAACCTTTTGAGTACATTATGGTATAACAAACTCAAGAAAACAACGAGAATGTCGCCTGAATAATATTATACTTCATATTTTTCCTATTTTATTATTTTTATAATTTTTTTATTTCCTATTATTCCACCTTTAGGGGTGGAGTCATGAAACCATCTCTTAAGTACCTATTAACTATTTAATAAAATATTATCATTAAAATCAATCCACAATTCACGATATACGTGGGTAACTCAGCAAAATTCCATGTGTGAAATTAGTAACTCAGGTGCAGTTTACTGGGCCAGCTCATTGCGTTAACTCAAAATTGTGCAGTGGGTGCAATAATTTTTACACACCTTAAGTAAGTACAAACATAGAGAGAGTCATAAAAATAGAACTTTGGTTTCATAATGCATTCAACACATTAATGTTTTAATTATGAAAAAGTCGTAAGCTTCTGGAATTAAAAATTCGTTACATTCAAAATTATTATAGTTCTCTAATTTACTAATCATCGTATTTACAATTCAAATGATAACGTTATTAGGATCTCCTTAAGGCAAAAATGCTTTACAGAACTTACAATGGCGTTTATTTTTAGGTTTTGGTCCGTACAGTTATGTTTTGACGACTTTGGCTGGTTTTATCAACATCGCATACACATGTGTTTCTTCCGCGACCACTATCATCATCCCTGCAAGCGCGTGTGAACTGGAGACAACCACATCCCAACAAGGATATATAGCGTCGGGACCAAGATTTGGTGCGTACATGTTTTTAATTTAAATAATAGATTTCTAATAAGTGTGGCGGCAGATTCAAAGGGAAATGTCTCTTGTATGCCTCTTGGCGGCTACTCAAGAATTGTTTGAAAAGTATATATTTGCAATATGAAAAGCTGTTATTAAAATAAAGTTAACTACTAATATATTAAACTATAATATATTATTAATTTGCAGCATTTTGCTATCGCTTTAATCTAATTTATTTAGGCTTAGGACAGAAATTTTCTTATCTCTGATCATATATATGGTAGAGCCATGCTGCAGCTATGTTATGGTTGTATTACGAATGGGTCGGCTCGACCGGGGAAGGACCACGCTCTCACAGAATACCAGCGTAAAATAGCAGCTTAATGCTGCTGTGTTTCGTATGGTGAGTGTAGAGAACCGGAGACCCTTTCACTGGAAACGAGGCATTCCATATTAGTCCTCACGGGTGACGACGCATCTGCATTTTGATTCGTAATCGAAGATAGATGTAGGTGTCTATGGGCCACAACAGCCACTTACAATCAGGTGGACTGTGTGCTCGTTTGTCACCCTTACCCTATAAAAAATATATACATATCATCGAATTACAATGTAAATAGACTTTTGCTAAGCTCAGTTATACGTTGTACAAACTTGGCAGCATTAGGGAGTAGTGAAAGAGTAGTTAATTAATTTCTAATTTATGACTCAATAAATAAAATAAATAAATAAATATATAAATATATATATATATATATATATATATATATATATATATATATATATATCCTTTATATGAGAGACTATCATATGTATATATATCCTATATACTATACTATCATATATATATATATATATGTGTGTGTGTGTGTGTGTGTGTGTGTATAAATATATAGATGTATTCACTTATAGACCACTTAAATTATAGGATTTAAATAGGTATAATAGTGGGTGCTGTTATTGGTGGATACTTGGGAGACAAGTTCGGACGGCGTCGGGTACTGCTCTTTGCGCTCATCTCGTCGGCTGTACTCAACGGCATCGCCAGCATCTCCGTCAACTGGGTCATGCTGTTGATTGTGCAGTCCCTCGCATCATTTTGGTAAGGATTAAAACAGTATGCACATTAAAATTCTTTGTTTGTCTTCATTTGTGCACAAAAGTTTTTTTTTATAGAAGAGGGGGCAAACGAATAAGCGGCTCACCTGATGGTAAGTGTCGACCGCCGCCCATGAATAACTGTAACGCCAAGGGAATTGCAGGTGCATTGCCGGCCTTTGAAAAAGGAGTAAGCTAGTTTTTTGAAGATCCCTAAATCATAACGGTCCGGAAAAATCGCCGGTTATAATAAAGTCCACTAAGTAACTCTGCGAGAAAGAAAACTCCTAGTAAAACGCACAGTGGTAGGCTAAGTATCCAGATGGTGTGAATAGTTTTGTCACGATGTACATTGGTAAAATTCGGCAGCTGGAATTTATCCGAACAGTTCCACAGAACACTCCCCTTGGTAAGTACGATGGAAAATGCAAAAGCATGAAACATTTCTGCGCAGCGCTAGTGAATTGAGCCGGTCGAAAACAACTCGGTCGTCGACGATCCGAGCCGCTCTGCACTCAAGTGGAAGGAGCTGGTACTGGTGAGCCCCGGCCCAGAGATGGGAACAGTATACCATATGAGGTCAAAGCTGCACAAGCTATACAGTTGTAAGCGGTGTGCCGGCATGAAATACTCTCCCTCTCTGCTGAGCACGCCAAGCTTTTTAGAGGCCAATTTGGTTTTCTCTTCCAAGTTATCACGAAACTGCACATCATGCGATATGTTGACGCCAAGAATTCCGATACTGGTTGAGGCAACAAGGGAGTGCCTTGAAACTGAGGAGACACGTTGAAGAAGTTCTTTTTAGCGGTAAGCACACAAACTTGTGTCTTCTAGGGATTGAACTTGACTAGATTTAGTCTTTGTTCAATAACGACTCGACTTCAGGCACAAGTTTTCTCTAGTGCTCCGCGACGTTTTCTCGGAAAATATTGGTACGGCTGGTTGATAAAGTATCACCAGTCCTGTCGTTCGTATAGCAGTGCATGTTACCGGTTTGCAACATATCCATTAATAGGCTTGTTATCAGAGCATACACCATCTACTACAACCTTGATGCCTTGATCTGCAAGAAAACTGGTGATCCAATTGCACAATTTCTCGGGAAGCCCATAGAAAGGGAGCTTCAAAAGAAGCGCTTTGTACCAAACCCGATCAAAGGCCTTCGCAAGGTCCAAATTAACGGCCATGACCTAACCCTTGGATTCTACTGCCTCCGCCAATCTAGGAGTTAGGTAAGCCAAAAGATCAACTGCTGAGCGACCCTGACTGAAACCGTACTGGCTGTCACTAATTAGCTGGTGGTACCTCATGAACTGGTTTATGATGACTTACATTATTTTGGAAAACAAGAAGGTGATGGCGATAGACCTGTAGTTGGACAGGTCTGAGCGGTCACCTTTTTAGGGATCGGGTGCACCAAAACCGTTTTCCATGAGTTCAAAACTACGCCTAAGGAGTAGGAGTACCAGAAAAGACGCGTTAAAACCGGTGCCAACTCCGGAGTATACGTCTTCAGCAAAATAGAAGGGACGCCATCAGGCCCAATTGCCTTATTGACGTCCAGGGAGCGGAGTGATTTGTGCACTGAACACCGTAGGAATCCATCTAGGAGCGTTTGTCAACCTCATCAGTGTCACTGTGGTAGCAGCGTCGACGAGTTTAGGCTTCACGGACTATCATGTAAGAAAAGTGCAGGTAGCATTTCCCGTCACGGTTCCTTGAACGATATCATCCGAAAAGCTTTTGTCTCTATAAATGTTACCTCGGTTTTAGAGCGTTGTGAAATATTTAGAGACAAGAGCAAAAGATCCTATACTATGATTTTGGTTACTTAGAAGAGGGAAAGTCTTAGTGTGGGATGCTACATACGTTGACAAGTGAGACACGTTGACAGCCTCCCATCTCAAAGATACCTTGTTTAGAGTCGGGGTAGTGCTAGAGGCAGAATTTAAATGAGTGGCGCAAATATAAGTCTCCGAGACTATCGGTCCATAAGGTCCACGTGCGGTGAAGAGAAGAAACTGTATCCGCGACTGGTCGTTGCTGCTAAGAGAGTTAGTTCTTTTCTCGCTCAAAGGCTAAGTATAGCCATTCATTTAAAGTTTTAATTTTTCTTTATTATTGTGTGTAACCGTAATTGATTAAGTATTTGTATTAGTTTTATAATTTGATTTAATTACTTATATTACATTGTAAAAAGAAAAATTACATATTAATTATAATCGATATTATTCACCGATCTTAGCTAAATCATTTTTAACATCTTTGGATAGATACTACTCTCTCATATGCTCTGTGGGTATATACTCGAGCCCAGTACTGTTGTTTTTATTTGAAACTAGCTGTTCCCCGCGACTTCGCCCGCGTGGAGTTATTTTTCGCGTAACCCTAAAATAAAAGCAGCCCAAGTTACTCCTTATAACAACAGCTATCTGCCAGTATGTATAAATATTGACATTAATACAACATGACATAATAAACTTTATGGTATGGTATTAAAGTTCAAATTGACTTTTAAGTATTATTACGAATCTTTTGTATGGGAATATAGAAAACTGTTGTTTTTAGACTTTTTCAGGCAATTTTTAAAATTTTTCTCTCCGTATGACCCATCTTCGTACTTCAAGGATTATTATAAAAAAAGAATTAGATAAATCGGTTCAGCTGCTCTCGAGATTTGAGCTTAGCAACACATTCAGCGATTCATTTTTATATTATAAAAGAAGATGTGTCATTATGTCCTTTAAGATATTCCATCTTAACTGTGAGCATTAATTATATAGTAGGCGGCAAGTGCATCAATATGTTATAATATTATGAAAATTGAATGACTGGTCTATTCGTTTCTACTCGGTTTACGATGTCTTACTTCTTTTGAGTAGGCGCAATTACTTTTCAGTCTGATTTTTATCTACCCCTTTTAAAATAGTTATAGTTTAGTAGCGTTAGATGCGCTTAAATTTGTCCCTTCATGACTCTTTTCTTTTTTTGCAGTTCAGCTGGTCACTATTCATTATCTATTACAATCCTCAGTGAGAGCGTTCCTATGTGTAAAAGAAACCTACTGGTCTTGTTGGTCAACAGCATCTTCTTGATGGCCCAAGGTATTATGGCAGGTAAGCATAATTTTTGAGGCAGTTAATATATTATCACATACCGTAAAACCTGCCAACATTGGCCACATTTTGCACTTAATCAACTTTAAATCAAAAAAACTGTTAGTAAAGTATTAGTTTTTCATATTTTGTTTAACACCAGAAACCTCAACTGTTGATGTTAATTCACGGAAATTGCGAAAATTAGGACAGTTTCTTACCTAAAAATATATTTTTTTAGTCGGTCAAAATTACATCAGCTTTCTGTCAACATTAGCCACTGCTTATAACTCTTGAATTATAGTCTCAATGCCGTTTACTTTAAGAACTATGACAGGAAACTGGCTAAAGAAGACGTATAAAAGGCAATAATCACAAAAAGTTAAATATTTTGGCTTACAGCGAGGTGGCCAAAGATACCCGAAACTTTTTTTAAATTTCCATACAAAACAGTTTTAGACTCAGGGTTGTCAATTTTTTTAATTAATATATATTGGTTGAGTGTTTTACAAAAAAAAACATGTTTTTAATCAATCGCATTTTATTATATGAGATTTATTTGGTACAATATTAGCATATAAAATATGGCACTTTTACTAAGCAAGTAGACAACAACATAGACTATCAAATTATATCAAGTATTAAATGATTATGAGTAAGTACTTAAATTACTATCACATATTTGTGAGATCAAAATTCTTAAAAAAAGATTCATTTTTCAATTTAGTAATCTCAAGACTACTTAATCATCACGTTGAGGTGAAATTTTAAAATTCTCAAATTTATAAATAAAAATATATATAACAATAGGTACCAAGCTTAGTGTTTATTTAGAACCTACGTACCTACTGAAAACAAAAAATAATAAATGAGAAACATAGATACTTTAGGAACTTTAGGAAATGAGCGTGTAAATGACACATTCTAGTAAATACCAAAGAAATACAGCAATATACTTTTTGTGATAACACAAGACATAATATCAAATTCTTAAAAGTACACAGAATCCTTATCACACATTAATGCATATTCTTCAGGACTTTCATTGAATTGTAAAAGTTCTATAATTTTAACAATGTTACTTTCTGGTACGGCTATATCTCGATCCAAGAGCTTAGGTTTAATAAATTTAATATCATCTGAATCCTTTGTTTTTATGCATTTGTAATAAGATATATTAAAAGTTTTGGAATTGTCATTAACACTTTCAATTAATCCTACATAGTACTTCCAGTTATTTGACTGATAGTATCTTACCAACACTTTTTCTCCTAATTCATAATACTCTTTTTTCTTTGAATTCTTGTCAATTTGATGTATATCTTCTTTTATTATTTGTTTATCCATATTTATAGATTCATCAATATTTGTAGACTCTTCCATACTTATTTCAAAATTTGAAACATCACTAAGTGCTTCAATTATGTCAGAATCACTATGGGTGCTAATGCAATCTTCCTCAGTAGTTGTAGAACTATCTAGAGATTTTCTTGGTCTCTTAACTGGTTTTACGTTTTCCTTTTTGACTTACTGTTAGTTTTCTCTCTGCTATTTGCAGAACAACTCACAATATCCCTAATATCCTCATTATCGTCACTACTTAAAACACCATGAACGTTAATATTAAAAGCAATATTATCTATTTTTCTTACCTTACCACCCGAATTTTCAGTATGTGGTTTTTCTGTGATAATATTGCGTTCTGAAGGAAAAGTTTGTGATAAAATGTTGAAGCTTGTATCAATTTCTTTAAAGTATTTAGTTTTAGTTTTTGCAATAGGCTTAGTCTTATATTTTGGTAAAATGATGTCGGATAGAATATTTATCTTTTTGGGCTTGTCTTGGTCTTTTATCGAAATCACGGGTAAATCAGTTTCAAATACTAAATCAGTGTTTTTTGTGGCTTCCATGAGACCCGTTTTTTCGTTTAAAATATAACTAATGTCATAATTGTAATTTTTATTAAAATTCTCGAGTGAGGCAGCAGTATCTACCTTCGTGAGTGTCGTAGTATTCTTGGATGACTTGACTTTGCCTCGTACATTCGATTTTGAGAGTTGGGAAGTCAGCAGTAAATCATCGACTGTTACTGATTTTCCAGGTACAGTCATAACTTTCTTGTTTCTTTTTGTTATCATAGGATTTGGCTGCCTGATCTGCTTTAAGTAGTCTAGCAATGCATTGTCAATCCCATATGATGCCACATCTTCTTGATACTCTGGTACACGCTTCAGTACTTCTCTTGGGTTGAATGGGTAGATCCCAGTTGCTCTGAATCCGCTTTTGATATTTTTAGATGAATATATTTCAACTTGATCAACTAAAGAATGTAAAAGTTTTGGGAAATGATTCTTATTCAGAGTAGTTTGGTTGGGATTTTCCATTTTGTACTTGAGTAATATTGCTCGCCACACTTTTTTAAGTGGTGCAAAAAAAGCAACGTCAAGGGGTTGTGTTATGTGTGTCGAGCTAGATGGAATGAAAACAAACTGAATATTGTGACACTCACATAATTCGATAACACTCACATTTAAGTGGCTTGATAAATTATCGCATATAACGACTTTTTTACTAGGTAAAGACTTTGCCCAATCCATAATAATTGTTTTAAAGTAATCTTCAAAAACAAAAGAATCAAACCACCCAGATCTTGTGCAGTTATACCTAGTACCACGCGGTCCGCCCTGTATCCATTCAGAATATAAATTCTCTGCCTTATAGACAACGTAAATAGGTAGCAAGCTCCCGTTCGCTGTAACTGAGAACATCAGCGAAATGGCTCCTTTAGTTGAATTGAGCACTCGCTCGGGATATTTTACTCCTCGCCTAAATATACTGTTACGCGCCACTATTAATGTCTTGTACATGGCAACACTAGTTACACTAGCGCCCCCTAGTGTCGAGTAAATGAAAGTATTGCGCGCCACTATTAATGTCTTGTACATGGCAACACTAGTCACACTAGCGCCCTCTAGTGTCGAGTAGCAGAACTAGGAGAGTCGAGATCCTTCCAGAAATTTCGGGACCGATATGTACTCGAACATTCTAGATGTCGCTACAGTAGAAGGTTCTGGAAACTATCTGCGGCCCTATATAAGGCCGGTATAGACCACGACCGGGGCAGTATTGAATTGGCGATACAAGAGAATACTTCGAAGCGAAATAACGGCGAACTGTGTTTTATTATTAGTGTGTTTTTAGATTGTAATTAGTATCCGTAATTAAAGTGTCAATTTTGGTAATTTAATCGGCAGTTTTTAATTGTCTCGAACCCCAAGTTCGTAACAATTGGTGTCAGAAGTGGGATCAAATATGCCGATTTTACCTAAAGACGACACGGAGGGTATCCGTACCCGAAGTCAACGCCAACAGGAGACGGACCAGAGACGATTTGGTAATGCAACGCCGCAAACGTCGGAGGGCCAGTTGCTAACCACGGAGGCTGGCCCGTCAGCAGCTCCTGCATCTGCAGCACCTGACTTAGGTGCTCTGATGATGATGCTGCAGGATCAGGCTCGCCGACAGGAGGAACAGGCCCGCCGACAGGAGGAACAGGCCCGCCGACAGGAGGAACAGACCCGTCGGCTGGAAGAGCAGCTGCAGCGCGGTATGGAAGAACAGATGCTCCTCAGGAAGGACCTTCACGCTACCTTCGGGAAAGAGATAAAAGAGGTGAAGGATAGGGTTGCTCAACATGACAACCGCCTGTCGGAAGCTGAAACCCGAATCGACCAAGTGAACAATCGGGTTGACAACGTGATGGCTGATGTGAAGAAAACGCTGGACGACCTCAAACTTGGGGATGGAGTTACAGCTCCCGTGGTAGCTACAACACCTTCGCTACGTGGATTCAAAGTGCCACCGTTCGACGGGACTTCTTCCTGGTCGGCCTATAAAATCCAGTTCGAGGCTGTCATGAAAGCGAACGGCTGGAATAAAAGTCAGGCCATGACTGCTCTCACCCTAGGCCTGCGCGACCAGGCATTAACTGTTCTGGAAGCTCTCGGTAAGGAAGTGACTTACGAGCAGCTCCTTGAGGCATTGGAGGCGAGATATGGCGACGCTCACCTGGAACACGTCTTTCGTGCGCAGCTCAAAGATCGCGTGCAACGCAGTAACGAAAACCTGCAGCAGTGGGCCCTTGAGGTGGAGAAGCTGGTTCGAAAAGCGTACCAGTCTGTACCTGCGCTTATTGTAGGGAACCTGGTGCAGACATTCATCGACGGCATCCGCGACCTTGAAGTCAGAGCTGCTGTGAGGCTCGGGCACCACGAGACGCTTAAGGACGCCTTGGCCCATGCACTGGAGGTGGAAGCCGTGCGGCAGGATCATCGTTCCCACCGCGTCAGGGAGGTTGCAGCAGCTACAGTTCAGGACCGCAATAAGGGCTACAGCCCTAGGTGCTACGGCTGTGGGGAAAGGGGCCATCTTCGATCCAGCTGCCCTAAACGAACTGTAGAAAGGGAAGGTGATCGATGTCGAGAGGGTAGTGTGGCTGACAGCAACACCCGGCAGCAGCAGGGAAACTGGCGGGTGCTGGCTGATGTTAAAAGAGCCGCAAGGATTTCGATCTCACAAACCCGTGATGGAAACAGCCTGATCATCAAGGGCGAGGTCAACGGAAAGCCGTGTAAACTGACCATAGACACTGGAGCTTCTCGCACGGTTGTCAGTTCCCAACTTATAAGTCGGTTCCTTGGTGACTCCGCATACAACCGAGAACGCATTAATTTGGTGACAGCCACTGGTCAGCGCATACCCGTCCGTGGAGAGAAGGAGATGGAGTTGAAGCTAGGCAACATGATCTACCTGCATAATGTCATCGTGGCTGATATAATGGACGACTGCATCCTGGGCCTAGACTTTATGAGGAAGAATTGTTGTGAGATCGACGTTAAGCAAGGTGTTTTGAAATGTGGACAAGAGGAACTTTTCATGGAAGGGGCGTTACCAGGGAATGTGTACAGCCTTAAGAAGATTGTTCTTCCGCCGAGATCGGAAACGATTGTGCCGGTTAGTCT